TTTTTTTTTTTTTTTTTTACTCTACCCCCACCCAGCCAAAGTGGTTTTTCTTTTCAAAAAAGGAAGAGAAACAAATCAAACATTATTAGACTATGGTTAAAAGTAAATCATTTATTTAATGGCATATTCAAAGAAAACAGCTCATTGCATTCTTCTGAATCAGGCTCTTCGGGAATCTTGTTCTACAGAAGATTCTACACTCGCTTCAGGTGGGGCTTGCATGTCTCAGTGTCTGATCGCTACTTAGCAACCTGATGCATCAGGACAGCTCAGCTGACGGCGGCGGGATGCGCTGAGGTCACTAAATACAAGCCTTCAGGAGCACCTGGATGGCTCCGTGGTTAAGCGTCGGACTCTTGGTTTCCTAACCGCTTCTTTTATTATTATTTTTTAAGATTTTATTTTTCAGTAATCTCTATGCCCCACATGGGGCTTGTAACTCACAACCCTGAGATCAAGAGTCAGGCACCCCTCTTCTTCTGGGGTGCCTGGGTGGCTCAGGCAGTTAAGTGTCCAACTCTTGATTTCGGCTCAGATCATGAATCTCATGGTTCATGGGATCGAGCCCCGTGTCGGGCTGCGTGCTGACAGCACGGAGGCTGCTTGGGATTCTCTCCCTCCCTCTCCCTCTCTCTCCGCCCCACCCCGTTTGCACTCTTTCTCTCTCAAAATAAATAAACAACAACAAAAAAACCCCTCATACTTAACCAGTTATTAAGTTAACCATTCAGAATGTGACAGAGCATATGCTGTAATGTTAGAGGCCCTAACACAGCAAAATAGGAAGAACCAAACCTAAGAAAAGCTCAACAAGGAAGACCTTCTGAGTCTTTTTTTGCCTGTTGTGACTTTTACTTTCCAGCTTTGTTAGAAATAACAAGAGTTCTTAAAAACAACACAATGATTTAAAAAAAAAAAAAGGAAAAATATTTGGTCATTGACAAATTTTCAGCTTTAACAACACAGAAGACACTGAGTGTTTTTCAGAAGCACGCCAAGCTACTCTGAGCAATTCTTACCACTTGGATCAGGAACTCCACGGGGAAACCGCCTAACGTCTCAGTGTCAGAGCCAGAAATTTTACTTCTCCACGGTGACTGTCCTAGTAAAGGGTCATTATCCTACGGGAACAAAAGGGAATCATTTAACCACCGACGGTTCAAAAGAAAGCATTTTATTTTTAGATAAAAGTAATTCCTATTTTAATGGATATTACGTTACAAATCTTACAAAAAGGAAAATACAGAGTTGAAGCAACTATGTACTCATTTAACTGACGACTTAAGATAACGCGGCTACCTCCTGAAGGTGCCGTCACAGATGTGTATTTCACACAAATGCAACTCACATGTGTAAGAATCATTTATGATGGCATCACTTACAGATGCCATTTAAAAAATATTTACCGTAATCGGCGACTGGAGAGGAGGAGTATAATGTAACCGTGGTGGCGTCATAAAAAACCGAGAAGGCCGCTGTTTTTGTCCAAAGGCAGCAATTGGCATCGTCTCGTGGGGCTCATTACTCTTTGAGAAGAGAGAGGAGTACACAAGACTCGAATAACTTTACCAATTGTTTCGGCTTTATAAACATTACGTTTCAGCTGGAGAGACGCACTAGCCCATATGCCAGGATTCATCACAGAATATTTTATCCTACAGAGGTCAGGGGGCTAAACCTTAAGTCATAGTGTGAAAATACTACGTTGCTGGGGCACCTGGGTGGCTCAGATCAGCTCAGGTCATGATCTCACACTCTGTAAGTTCAAGCCCCGCGTTGGGCTCTGTACTGACAGCAAGGAGCCTGCTTGGGATTCTCTCTCTCTCTCTCT